TAGCACGCAATAAAAAGTTTTCCGTATCATTCTACCAACAAGAGAGAAAAAATATCATCAACATTCTGAACGAATTAATTTTCGAGACTTTTTTATTTTGTATTTTTGTTGTCAATGGCTGTAGTTTTTAAGTGTAAAAATATTAATTGAGTGGGAAGCAATCAGAGTCTTGAGATCCATATAAAATACAGCACAATTTCTCTGGTCAATTTTATTTGTACAATTTTTCGGGTAACACCTATTTCATCTTCATCGTAATAGAGTTGGAAGAAAATAAGTTTCACATCTAAGCTCAATAAATGCACACTGTCTTCATTGAGTTTGGTTTATCGAGCTGATTAAAGCGCATTTTATGTGATTCCTCTGGCAAAACTCGTAAATATTTTTGTGCCATAATAAAACGGCAGAGATGAATAAAATAGATGAACAACAAAACCGGGTTAGATGTTAAAGATCAAATACACAAATTGGCATTCTATTTGAAGACGTTGGATTCTATTGCAAATTCCAATGAGATGCGGCAAGCACGAAGACATTGTATTGTGTACTTTGCTCAGAGGGACGAAGCGAAAAAGAGACAAAGAAAAAATCGAAACGGAGAAAAAACAGTACGTAGACATTGCTACAAGCATGCCCTGTGTTCTTGTTACTACGGGTTCGATTGTAATAAAAACTATCATCAACTTCAATAGACCTAAATGGCATGAATAGACATTGATGGCGTCCAATGACTAAGTACAATCAACCGTTTTTTTTTTTATTTCAACATATTCCATCTTTGCCCATCTCACTCCATCGCTCTCTCTCTCTGCTTATGTTCCGTTTGCAATTTCTACTTTTATTGCATATGTATGCATCCCTTGAGAAAACCCCCCGATATAAAGGCGACTAGTGCAAAATTTTATGTGTTGTTCATTCAAACTGAACAAAAAAAAAAACATATTGTTTTTGTTTTTCGCGTTTGGAATTTTTTTGCTTGGTTTTTGCTGCATACTTCAGTGCACAAGAATTCAACGTAACCTAACCATGGTTCGACAATTTATGAAAAATCATTAAAAGTTCTTTTGATAGTTGATCAGACTTTCGCATTCACCCAACGTTCAATTTGACTTATGAAAACTTTTTTTCATTTTTTCTTGCATTTATAGTGTGTTAATAAATATTGAGTTATGTATAAGTGTGCGTGTGTGTGTGTGTGTAATAATGACATTTTAACTAATGAAAACCATTTGGTGAGAGATGTGTTTTATTTTGCGGTTATATAGTGTGCAGGCGGTGCTTGTAATTTTAAATTGTTGTTATTTCCATGATAAATTGTAATTTTAACTTAATTTCATTAAATATTTCATGATGAGAACGTGCACGTCCACATTTTAGAACGATTACGCAAATCTTGTTTTTGAAGCGTCAGTTTACTCAACACCAACGTCCACTGTACTATTTATGTATTTAGACGGACATATGCCACGATTCATACCTGAATCATCTCAATGTAAAATAGTCGAAGTTTTCAATTAGGAATGCCATTAACAGCATTATAACAAATAAACTACGTTGTTTATTCCTTTATTAAATCAGTTCGCACGGAGAATTGTGTTCGTTCAACTTGCGAAGCTCATGCTTATAGTTTTATATAGGAACACTGACAGGAGGAAGAACCAGTTTCTGTCTAAGAATAAGTGAAAAGTCCTCAGAAGAATTGTTCATGTTAAGAATAAAGAAAAGTTGTTCCATTTCATTGGTTGTGCTTATATTGAAAAGCCACACTGAAGAATGTTTCATTTAAACTTTTTCCAATTCTTAATCTAACGGATTGTTGTATATGTTGTGTATTTTAAACAAACGTAACATCTGGAAAATTGTGAATTTGCGTTTTGTTTAATATGTATTGCAAGGAAAATTCTACAGTTGATTCCAAGAAGCCCAAAGTTTCGGCACAAGGAAGTAAACATTAGTTTTCTTTTTTAATTTTTTCAGTGGGAAAATTGATTAGAAGTTTACTTAAAGAAGATAAACAGTTTGCTTGTTTGTGTACATTTATGTACCTTCAATTTATGCTACAGCAGTAGTGTGCGAAGAAAATTTTTCAGGGGGGGTGGGTTGATTTTCCAAAAACAAAAAATTCTCTAGCAAATCAGACAAATTTTCGTTTTTTTTTTGGAAGTCACTTTTTGGAGCGAAAATCCCTAGCAAATCGAAAGAATTTTCTCCGCGAAAAACCCTACCAAATCGGAAAAAAATCTCTCGGAGCGAAAAACCCTAGCAAATTGAAAGAATTTTCCACAATTTTCTACATTGATGAGCTAAAAAAAAGAAAAGGTCTTCACTTTTTGAATCAAAAACCCTAGCAAATTCGAATAAATTTCACGAAAAAAAAATCTCATCCAAATCATAGGGGGGGGAGGGTAAAACCCCCCTCCGCACACTACTGTAATTATAATTAAAACACTACACTACATAATTAAATGTGACGATAGGAAAATTCAGCGAAAAATTAACATTTACTACGAATGGGGAATAAAATAGTAAGAACCTATTTACAAACGATCATCACGTATGATTCATAGCTCGGAACGCAGAAATCGGCCATTACCTCCATAAAATTTGTATATCTTAATTGTTCGGCGTTTAAAGATACCGTGAAAATCCCAATTATCGCAACACTATTATTTCTAAAGCTTTTAAGGTGTGACAAAGCGAAGCTCGCATGTATGAACATTCTTCATTCGAATAAACAACATCGTCGCTGAAATAGCAAATATTTGTCGCCATTAAGCTTATATAATTTGATAATTATAGTGAAACGCGTGAATGCTTATAAGCCATTAAATTGTTTGCGTTAATACTCACAATTTATTCTGTTTAAAGCATTTTATCAAATTGATAGAAAAGAAAATATATTTTTGTCGGTTATCAACCGTGGTATGCTTCAGAATTTAGGTACAGTAAAAATCTAAGTCCAAGATAAAAATTGAACTTTGTTACTGGCTTTGATGCGACCTTAATTTTTACGCTCAACCAAGAATTGACTGAAAATCCACTTTATTCAGGACTAATTTAGTTAGACCAGGCCATCACTACAACAATTATTAACAAATCACAAAATTAGCCTTTTTAACGTTACAAAATTTTCAGTTGGACATAAAAAAATATTACTCATCAAATTATTGACAAATTTTCAATATATTTAATCAAATCCAACGAATCCTTTGGTTTTTTTGAAATTATCACATACTATATTGTACAAAGTTTAATTTTATTATTGACGGTATAAAATTAACTTCCACTGCTTTGGATGTACTTGAAAAGCCACAAAAGGTAGAATGATGAAATGTAAAAAAATCAAAACTGAAGCTTGTAAGCCTTGTTCGTGCGATGAGTGGCATATGTGAAAAAGGTTGAGAAGATATTATTTTAACGAATCAATTACTTTTAAGGTTTTTTTTTTACTCTCTCCCTTTTTCTGTCTCGTCATATGTATGTATGTGCGTGTGCCCCCCCAATTCAAGTATGTGTGTGTGCGTTATCCATCGATGGCTCATGCATATGATGATAATATAGCAGCAATGCTGATGGCGACAATGAATGTGATTGGTAAAAGTAATACACTCAGCAGGCTATCCACCATATCACATTGTTGTGTGTGGATGGACTGAAGTGGGTTATTTATTAGTAATTGAATTTTGTTTTTGTCTACGCCAAGTGACATCGATACGCAATTTAATCTAAATATTTCATGGAATTTGTGTTATGCTTCTTGTTTTATGTTGTATACTATGTAGTCTAAATATATAACATAATTGTGATGTTTCGTTTGAAAATTTACTTGACATTTTCAGCACAGATTCTATTTGACAGACAATGAACAGAAGCAATGAACTTTTTTTTCGTCGTTTTTCTTCCTTTCTGGAACTTTCTCACAAATTGTGTGCGGCACGCATTTCGATGAATGTTTTGTGAGTCATAATGGATATGTTAGTCATCGCACGTTTTTCAGACGTCTCTCCTGACTATACATGTGTATGAATTGTGAATATTTTCTAATATATTTGGTCACAATCAAAATGGAATATCAAACCGCTTGACAGCCGGCTTAATTGTTGTGCAAAATGTGTACATATGTCTCAATAAGTGACAGAGATGATGCTATGTGTAAATTCCGTGTATCGCTACCATAATATTTCGAAATTTTGAGAAAACATTTCGCATCACGTAATACAATTGGCTTGTGATGTACAAAGAGAATCCATCACATTAAATCAATGAAATACGCGAAGCGATACGTTCACGCAGCAGCACCTTTACTGATTACTTCGAGTCTCCGACGCTTTTTATATATAAGGTCGTAAATGTGTGCATGCAATACGACCTGGCTAACCTTATCAATATCCAATCTAACACATATTCAAACACAACAGCTTTTTAACTGTATACCATACAATTTTGTCTTCATTTGTATATGCTCTTCTTTGTTTTGAACACCAATTTCAATCTCTTTATATAAAATGGCGCAATTCAATGCACACCACTTTGGTCATATTAAAAACAACTATAAGTCTTTAGGACACATGTTCTGGTTTCATTTCTTCTTCACCATTCTCCCCACATTTTGGATTCATTTTTCCCTTTATGCATCCTATTTACTGTGATACATTCTCTAGGATTATAGATAAAATGATTTCTCTTGTTCCCATATTTTTTCAGTCCAATCTCATTGATTTCTGTTTTCCACATTTTCCGTGGGCGTTTTTTTTTTGCTCTTCAAATTGTTATGCACCGAAGTGGCACACTTTTAATCAAATCAAAATCCCATCGGTTAAATTGATTAAGTCAAATAAAGGCACTTCAGTGATTCGATTCCATTGCCATCAAAGATAGTATGGATCTTTGCGCTTCGACATCATTGTCTCAGTAGTAATTTTGGATCAATTTATATTTTTCTTTTGAAAAAAAAAAAAAAAAAAATTCAAATGAAGAAAAATATCAAAAAGAATACTTACATCTATTCAAGCGGTGTATTCACAACAGATTTTGGGATATTAGAGAGGAGCGGGAAGCAACGTATTTTTTAAGTTGTTATCCTGTTGTTGACTCTTCCAATTCATAAGGTTGTTAAAATGTCTCAATATGTATTTCTTGCGTGTCTATTTCGTTAGATTTTACTCTTTGCATAACAATGCATAGCAAACAGCTTTTTGTAATTTTCAATTGTTGCTGCTTGTCGTTTCTATTTCTTTGTTTTGCTTTCTTTTTTATTATTTATTATTTCAATTCTTCAATAGTGAATTTTACGTTTGTCTTACACCATGTTAAATGTTTCTTTGTGTATTTGATGCAATGAGTTACATTTTTATGCTGTATTCAATATATTTCATTTAACGTGGAACATTGATTCACTCACAATAGCCCTGTTAATGCCAATAATTGTAGATGTTTATGAAACGGAAAACATAATTAGTGTCATTCGTTTGTTCAGCTAATTTTCCGATTCGTAACGAATTGTGAAAAATTAATTTCCGCTCGAATGTCCGGTTGAGAACGTTTTCAGCTTAATTATCTGTATATTTTAAGTGTGTATACAAAATCTCTATCTATTTTTTTTCTGCACTATTATTATTAATTATTTATGAAAAAAACCGACCATTTTGGCAACACAGACTTATTTGTTTGAATGATTTTTTATTAATTTTATCTTCAAACTGTTTTTTTCTTCAATAAAAAAACACATGCACTTTTTTCTTTCAATTGCCTTTACTGTTTAACATTGATTGTGACAAATTCCTCTCACTTCTTTTATCGATGGTTTGGAAAACACAAAACTTACATCGATTTCGGATGATTGCAAGAGAAACACGCAAAAGATCGTCAGTTCCACTTAAAGTCCTAGACGTGTTTAACTTGTTCAACGAATTAGGCGTTTTGTGTTTCGTGTAGATTCTACGCTACTTCTTTATGTTTTCATGTGAAAACGCGCGTTGTATCCTATTGAACGGCAAATGCTCTGTGGATGATTTGATTGGTGGGGAATAAATAATGCGCTAGGAAAGTGCGCACATCTTTGAAATCCTTCGAACTATTACTGCTCTCCCCCTTCTTTTTGACTTTCTCTTTCTATCACTTCTATTCCGTATATATGCTGTATCCGTTCACAATCAACAGCTTGCAAGAGAATCGCAACGTCGATGCTCTATATTACATTGAATACACTAATACTTCATATACAAAGATTTCGTTTCCATTTAAGAATCGAACGCTCAAATTAACACACATAGGAATATTATTAACGAAATTCTTGCCATCTTTGCATTTGTTCTTCTGAAAGCGCTCAGTGACGGGGAAAGCGGCGAACAAACTGAATGGCCGATGGTAAACCATGGATACCGAACAGTATGTGTGTAAAATATCTTTGTCTTGTAATCAATAGCGAACGATATGCATTGATGAGAAACAATGAAATTGAACCGTTTTCATGTTATTTTCGCCAATTTACAATGAAAAAATAGTTTTAATGAGCTTAGAACCATTTACAATTGCGTCAACTGTAAAAATGCCCACGCAATTTGAGAAAGCACTGAAGCTGAAAGAAAGTCTACTTTATCATTTAATATATTGAATGTGTTTTACATTCGCAGCATGCCGGCAGCACTGCATTAAATAGTAATAACGTTAGTTGACGCGCGATATATTCAGCACGACGAGCCAAGTCATTTCTTATGTATATCAAATTGTTTATGAATTGGACGTGATAAGTGGATATCTTGTTGCCGGCACATAGTGATTTGCTTCCTCATAAAATGAATGTAAATTATGTGGGCGTTATAGAGAAATCGTCAAATTTTTCAAGAAAAATAGGAAACCTTAAATTTGAATGATTTAATTTCTTTAATATGAAAATGGGATGTACATAGCGCATATTCATATTTTATTCAATACCTTAATTAATTTGCTTGTTCGTGGTTTTTCCTTATCAAATTATGAGAATATTATTTTAAATGATTTAATGCAACACATTAAACACAATGCAAACGAAAACATGTTTTTGTGTGTAAACGAATTTTGGAAGAAGCCTCCATCTGCATGGAATGATCGAACAAAGGAACGCATACAACATTCTATCAACATGCTTACGAATTAATAAATTTTATGCGAAGCATATACACTCTCTCGCACGAATCTAGAATAACCAAAATTTATTGACAGCGTGGATTGCGTGCAATTGCCATTCTCCGGCCTTTATCAGAAGTATTTTGAATGTCGTCCTTCTCTATTAAATGCAACATTCAAATTCGTTCATCAACAATGACAAGAATTTTAATGAGCATTACGCATAATATTTGGAAAACATTACAATCGTAATAAATGAACAAAAAAAAATGTAAATAAAATTGCAAACATACACATAAATGTGGTATTTTTTGCTTTAAAATGTGCGCGGTCAAGCATATTGATAGGAACGCTTCGCGCAATTCATATCACTTTTTGTTGGTTGTATGTTTTGTTTATGTGAAAATTTACTATTTGACATTTTCGCATCATTCTCATTTGTGTTGTTTTCATTTACAACTGTCAACACTAAATTAACACGCATCGGGTATACCAAAACCATGGCGTCGTTCACTATGAAAACAAATGCTGTACAATTTGAATTGCAAAACGTTAACCGACCAGCTAAGTTGTTTTGAATAAAAAAAATGGATTCAATATTTTTTTAATTTTATTTTTCTGATCAATTCAATTTGTGAGAAGAGCAAAAAGATAATATTTTATAATAAAATAAAATCGATTACCAAACAATGCAAATGATTTTGATTTGTTTATAGAAGCTACTTTTGTAGATGGCATTTCGATGACAATTTGAACGCACCCTCGATAAGCTTGATAAGTCACAGACGAACGCAAACGCTGAGTTTATTACAGAAGAAAACGCCATTTTGATTCTCTATACCTAAACTAAAAAATCGTGAACGAATTAATTACGTCTTTAATTCTTGAATTTTGATATAAGTTCAAGGGCTGCATCGACCAATTATCGCCCCTGATATGGATAGAATGAATTGATAACAGTGAATATCAATAATTGTGCAGTGAACATTTTGAATGAATGCAATATATTCACATTTGGATAAAAAAAATTGACTCGTATTTTTTTTGTAATCGAATAACACACATTTTTTTCGCTCTGCTACTGTGTAAATGCTCGAATTATACAATATTGTTTATCGAATGACGTCATTGATGAATTCAAGGTCCTAAGGAAAATCAGTTTTTTTGGTAAATAAATTCCGTGCACTGATTTCATTTGTGTTTGTTTAAATTGAACGACCAAAGTGTCATAAAGTGTAATTGCGGCGACTAACTTGTTTTTATTACCTATATATATATTGTTATTTTTTTCTGGTGTTCTTTCATTCTGCCATTCGCTTGATTCGCATTCAACTTGAATCGATTCAATTTCGATTTCGTTTTTTTTGGAATTGCTTGTGCTGTGCTATTCGTACTCTCATCTCGTTTGGTGCCCTGTGATATGTACAAAATTTAGTGAGAGAAAATGTCCGTGCAACAATTTTGTTTGCGCTGGAACAATCATCAGCCGAACTTTATATCAGTGTTTTCATCACTTTTACATAATGAGGCTCTTGTTGACGTTACGCTAGCGGCTGAAGGAAGACAGCTGCAGGCACATAAAGTTGTACTTTCAGCATGTAGTTCATACTTTCAGGTATTTTTAAATTTTGCAAACATTAAACATTAGACTAGCGAAAATGAAAACACGAATGCATTGTGTGTGTGTGTGTTTGTGCCTTAGTGAAGAAAATAAATTTCTTGCTTTAGAAGATGTATGTTGTTATCGCCAGAGTTACATTCAGTGTTTCTGTTTTCTGTACACACTTCCGTTCTCATTGTTCGCGCTTTCTGTGTGGGTTCTGTTGAGCGCTTGATTGGCGTCAGTTCTTTGGAATATGTGCCTATGCATATGCACGCATATACTATGTGTGTATAGTAAGTATATCGGCACCTATCTATATATGCGCTGAATCCGCCATGATTGTTTGTATTTGCAAGTGTTTGGAGTGATTGTGCGAAATGTACACAATTTGCGAGATTGGAATTGTGTCTTGCTTACACACTTATATTAATAACTCCATCATTTTCTCCTTTTTTCCACACTTTCTTCTCTTTAAATTTTTTGTTTTGCTACGATTTTCCATAAAATATGACATCACATCGCCATGCCGTGATATATTAGTCGTTGTTCACAACCAATCCTTGCCAGCATCCGATTGTGATTTTGAAAGATGTCCAATATAATGATCTGAAAACGATGGTTGATTTTATGTACTATGGTGAAGTAAATGTGTCACAAGAGCAACTTCCACATATACTAAAAACAGCTGAAATGCTGAAAATCAAAGGTTTAGCTGAGATGCCCGATCCAGTTTCGCTAACCAAATCCGAAAGCAAATCATCCGATCAAACCGATCCGAACGTGCAAAATAGTGGCGTTGAATCAATGTGGGGAAGCAGCGAATCACAGCAATATCACCAACAGACACTGCAACATCAAACATCGCATCAAACCCAACAACAGCAACCACAAAGACGTTCTCCGACACCTGGCACAATATCACCCTCGGCAAATCGACGAAAACGGCTGCGAAAGGCCTCAACAGGTATGCATTTTTTTTGTTTTCGTTTTGAATTTCAGAAAACCAAAACGTTTGTTTTGATATATGTTTGTGTTTTTGTTGTTGTGTTATTTGTTTTTTGGCGGGTATAGCTGGTTCTGGTTCGGCATCTACTGAGCGCACATCGGAAGAACATAGCAGCATCGAAGGTCAAGCAGGTATAAATATGTGTCAAATTGATCCATTCTGTGGATCGGCACCAACAAATTTATCCCATAATATGAATACGAAAATAATCAAAGAAAGTTGTAACCCAGATGCCACAAATCAACCACATGACGCTACGCACGAAAACGTTGATGCTGGAAATCATTCGCATCACATCCATCAGATCGTGAGTATTCATAAAATATTTATTTTTGACAAAATTCGTGTTTTTATCACATTTTATTTTATTTCATTATCCATATATATTTTCTTCGAATTCTCTGTAGTCTTATATTAAGAAATCGGATGAATTGTCAAATGTGTCGCAGCAACAGATGCCCATAGATATTACGAGCCCAACTACGCCATCGGATCATGGAACTTCAGTTAGTTGTTCGCAATCACAAACACCACACGGTAGGTGGAATAGTTATCGCTTTTAGCATTTTCACCGGAAATGTTCTGCATATTCGTTGACAGCGTATAATGGATTTGGTCTGTGTTTCTCTGTTAAATTACTCATTTCGATTTGCCTGGAAACACAGGCGCAATAGAGTCGTGATTCGAAAATGCAGGACTTTTTCGAGATTCGAAAAATCTCAACATCTATCAATTAATCGAATTATTTTATTTAATGTCTCAACCATGATATCATTTTTATTTAAAAAAAGAAACATAATAATTTTAAACTCGGTTCGAACGGACGACGCGTATCGTTTTCTTTTTTCGTTCTCTCAATTGTGATTTCATTTTTGCCAGAAATGAGCGGCATTAACCCTTGATTATGTTGAATTCTTTCCGCTGTGTTTTCATATTTTTTTTTTCTCACAAACTCCTTGATTTAGATTTGCATGATATTCATAAACAAATACAATCATACACACTCATTCTCATACTTTTTCATCAAATGTCATGAATCGTTAAATGAACGGCACATTTTTTCTAAGTTTTCTTAGATAATTGCGTTTTGATTTGCGTTTTTTCATAAAATCGTTGTTATTGAGCCTCTCAGAATCTTAAGATTTCTTGTTTTAATATCATTGTTATTTATTTTGATATGGCACTCTAGCTATCTGGAAGCCAATTCGAACCACTACATCACACATATCATATTTATCGTCAGGCGTACGAGCAACCGTACACACTTTTATCATATAACCGAAATTGGCATAAGATAATCAAATCCATGCGTTTTTTTAATTAATTTTCTGTTTATACAATTCTAACATGATTTTTTTTATCTAATCGAAAGTTTTGAAAAAAAAAATAAAAAGACTTTATGTGAAGAAGTTTTTTGTTGGCACAGTAAGGAAACTGATTGTATTAGTTTTTTCTCATTTATACACAGAGAAGAGGAAAACTTAGGAAAAATACTTTCCCATAATTGTTTCTTCTCTTTGTGGTTGAGTGTGTTCAGTGCTCACTCAGTTATAATGAAAATAGCGTAATCGGGATCGTCCGATTCTCAACAAAGATGCTTTCAAATCCATTTGCATTTTTTTTACGAAATCATTCCATTTAGATAAGGCAAATAGTTGTATTTGTCATGCTCTTCGCAACAAACACCAGTTCATGAAATAATTTGTTTACTATACGATAATTGTTTAGCCAATTAGAATTTAACCAGTAAAATGTTGTTCAGAATGTATGCTTAGCAGAAGAGGCAAAGGAACTGAATGTTGAAGTTCATTGACACATTGTTTTTATTTTTCTTCCATGAATATTTTGTTTCAATACAAGCCACATTTTACAACACACACTCATACACACACACCGAATCATTTAAATTTTATTAATAAGATGTAAATACATTTGAATTGATCAGTCAAACTGTATGAACCAAACTTAAAAAAAAAAATAGATAAAAAAATGTAAATTAACCAGACAACAATTGAATGTTGAACGACACAACCACACATAAAAAAATCAATCAAACAGCGATTATCAATGTAAAATGAACAGAAGAAGATGAAAAATATGTGATTGTATGATTAAGACCTCTCAGATCAGACATCATTCTTAGAAAAATTGTAATGATTTTTCCACACGTTTAACATTTGCTGTTTTGTTGTGAAATCTATTTTATTGCGCACATTTGCAAGAGTGCGTTACCTGTTGCGCAATCTGGGACGAGGAGAGAGCTCTATAAACAAAAAAAAAGTACTTTTGTTTTCGTTTTGTGACCAGTTTTTTTCATTCAAGCAATATATGTATATTTTTCGTTTTTGGTTCTGTGAACATTTGGAGAAATATTTAATCAATAAGAGTTGACGTCTGTAATGAGATAATGGTCGCATTACTTGATTTTCTTTTACGATTCCTGAATTTTCGTACATACCGTTTCGTATATATCATCACACAAATTTTGTGCAGATACATTATGATGAAAAGAAGTTGAAGCAAGCAAAAATTTATACTTCACATCAAACAATACAAACAAGGAAACAAATTGTTTCGTTTTGCTAACTTAATCAACATATGATTTTTTTTCTTGAAATTTTTTTAAACATTTTATTTGAATTTTTTTTAATTATTTTATTTTCATGGAATTCATTTCAATTAGAATAAATTAAAAAAAAAAAAAAGAAAACACAAACTGATTTGAACAAAAAAAATAAACAAAATAAAAAAAGATGTTAGATTTTCGTGTCTTAATTTTGAAACTTTTTTTAATTTACAAAAAAAAATCAAATTTTGTATGGAAAATATGAAAATTCTTTAAAAAAAAAATCGATAATTATGCACAAAGTACGTGTTCGAAATTTACTGCATGCATTTGCCTTCGTATGGGCAATTGACCATTAGTTGATTTGAAATGCGTGGGCTGACAATATGTCGCCTTCCTTATTTCACTTCCATTTTATTTGTGATTTTCCATACAAAGTGTAGTTTTTTTTTTAAATATTAGAGACAATTCGGTACGCGAAACGAAAATTTTTAATTTTCCATACAAAATGCAAGCAACCGATTTTGTAGTAATTCGGTGAACATTCAAATGAACTTTTTTATCTAATTGGCTCTCATCCTCTCCCAGGTGTGCAATGGATCGATTCGAATTATAGATTTACACTATCAACATGTACGACAAATGTTGGACTAGCATCATCCGCACACCACAACAATCCGGAAGATAATCAACACACATCAAATACAGCTCCGACATCAAATACAGCTGTGTCATCGAATCACACTCAAATCCAATACGGATCGGCGTACACGAGTGGCCAGATGATAGCAAGTAATAAAATAAACCCCCCCACAAAAAAATGTTTGGCCTATCTGAAAATTTCTTGGTTTTCTCTGCATTTCATTGAATTTTACGGCAAATGTTATTTTTACGATTTGTAATACACCTCATTGATGACATTCGTCATCGCATTTCAATGTTGGATTTATTCTTGGTAAGGAATTACCGATATTCGATGAGCTCTGTTATTGATTTCATTCATTTTATGGTCTGCAAAATTGAAAAAAAAAATATCGAAAAAGTTAATTAATAATAAAATTAAAGTTTTATTAATAATAAAAACTTTTCCCATTTGATTACCACATCCATTATAATCTCTTTGGATATAATTAATCCCATTAGAAAAAAGTTGAACGATGGTCGTCTTCATTGATTTAATTCAAGAAAAGAAAAGAAAAAAAATCATCCGACATGTCAGCGATTCTGATGAGAATCACATTTGCCGAAGAATTTATTGAATTGATGCGTCGAGAAAATCGAGAAATTCTCTTAAACTAAACCAATATATTTTTTTTTATTCGTGCTGCTGATTAGCATTGAATCCAAATACTTTAGTCAATAATTATTCGGCGAGTTTATCGACACCGACATCTCCACAAGGAAATGACTCGAATATAGTACAATATAGTCAAGGACCCACTCCAAACCAGTCACCTATTAACTGTAAGGATAATGAATTCTTTTGGCTGAAAACATTTGTTTCGAATGAATTTTAATTGCATTCGGCAAAAACAATTATGCAAAAGATAATAGTTGATTAAAAAGACATTCAATCAAAATTCACATTGAATAATCTAATATGACAAAAAAACAGCATTTTCTTTTTGGGCTGTGGTCATTTTGGCTTAGCTTTGAAACTTTTTTTTTCCAATTCCATTATTTGAAACTTTCACAAGAGAACCAAGAAAAATTCAAATAATTGCATTGGATTAAAAATATCAGAGCTCACCCACATAGCCAGCCTAATTTCCTTATATGTCATTCAATTATTACGGTTTGATTTTTGTTTTTTTTGCCGAATTTGGTGAAGTTCAAACGAAAAACAAAAAAAAATTGTGAACGCACAAAATCGTAAGCTAAGCAAGAATTTTCTCAATCGCAGCTAGTGGAACTACAAATCAACAGTCACAACAGCCGCCACAGGCCGCACAACCACAGACCACATCATCATCATCAACATCCACTGCCACAACATCACAAGCCGCTCCAAAACGAAAGCGATCAGTTAATCCGCAAAGCGATGAAAATTTCCAGCGGGCACTGGAGGCTGTTCGTTATGGTGGCATCGGTTTTTGTAAGGCAGCCCGAATGTATGGTTGTAATAATCGAACGCTTTGGCTTGAATACAAAAAACGTGGCTATCCAATTAGTCGACCGAGCATAAAGAATCGAATCAAATTGGAACCGAATATGACACCGCCACCCACATCACCCACACCAACCAATGAAGAGAATACATCGATGGAAAACTATGAACACAATATGACACCAGGACAACAATCAACAATAAATATGAGCACGGTACCACCGCCAGCCGAAACATCAACATCAATTATGTGTCCACCGCATGCACATCCAGCAATGGGTGTGATGAGTTTCCTTGACACATCGCGTACAACGCATGTATCATTTGAACCACATCCAACCACACTGCAGCGCCAACGATATCCAGACGGAGTGAATGTTAATCCAACGGCCATAAACTTACAAGGATTAAATTTTAATTCAATGTAAACAAGATGACGTACATTTCCATTTGTGTGATCGTTCATTACGCGTCCATCGCAAATAAATTGATATCAAATTATCAATGTTCATCGAACCCACTCAAACACTACCGTCACCATACATACGGAGTAAAAAGCAATATCGATATTCGACAAAATGCACGAAAGTTCTGCATTGTCGCACCACTCTCGATTAACAACTTTGTACTTGAAAGGAGCACGATTGTAACTGGATAATTGATAACACAACGATTACGGACGTGTGTCGAACGGTTGTGCATTAGTCAGCATGACACCGATCTTGTGATAATCATCTGAACAATAGTTTCGTCTTCGAATAATTTTTCGCCATTCAAAATCACCAGTATCTCAACACAGCAACAAATGAAACAAAATCAACAACAACAACACATTCAAACCAAACAGAAACCATTTAAAAATTAAAATAGCAAAAAAAAAACCGAGACACAAATTTCAAAACCATATGTAAAACGATGTGACATATTCGATTTCGATACAGAAAATGTGAATGAATTTTTATAATAAACACAAGAAGGAAAGGACGATGAAGAAGAAGAAGGAGAAGAAGATAAAAAACTAATAATAATAATAATAATAATAATACTAATAATAATTATAATAAAAGGTGTTCTGTCTGTGTTACTGTCTTAATTTAAACTACTTGCAAAACAGTACATGTTTGAGGGTCAATATTTAATAGTTTGTGTCATCTAAACGAAGGATTTAAATATGAAAATAAAATGAAAAAATTCTGCATATATTCTGAATAGCGAACTGACAAGTATATATTTTCGTTTTCATTTCCAACGTTATCAAGCAACTCTATCGTATTTAGGCTACATAGCACAACACTTTTTTTCTGCTGCTCGTAAAACAAACAGAAATTAAGTCCTATATAATGAATTATAAAAAATAAATAAATAAATATTGAAAAGGATTTTACTTATATGCATATACATCTAGGAATTTTGAACTTGTTTATAAATGTAACTCTATACTTAAGGATGTGTAGCCATCATTTTCATTAGTTTATTTTTCAAATAAATTGAAAAGCAAAAGCGAAAAGTAAATTTTTAGTGCAGGATGAACAAGATAGAAGAGAATTTACCCACAAGATCGTAGGTAAAAATATAAAAATCGAATCCAGAATACAGAATCGCAACGGCAAAAATCGTCGAACAATTGCATAATATTGTGTGATGATTTCACAACTGATTTCATACACACACACACACACACACACACACACTCTTTTGAAAGTAAATTATATGTGTACTAGATTGTAAGATTTCAAATTGACCTATGGCAAAAATTTATACTAATAGTAACTATGTAGATGTTAACATATTATGTGACTACTAAAGTGAACAACAACAGACAAAACGAAATAACAAATAAAACTCTTATAATAAACATCCCTGATACATACACAGAGAGGAGGAACAATTTTCTTTGCTACTTCATATGTCATGCAGAAGAACGCTCTGCTTATTCTCATTTTGTTTTCATTTGGTTTTCATTTGGGCCAAAAGAGCCAATCTCGAATGTAATATGGAAGCTGCATAAAATAAATCAAAAACCACATAAACACTAATTGTGCTCATCCCATTTCATCATGCTTGATAGCTAAAAAAACACACACACAAATTGAAGAATTCAATTGTTTTTGCCATATTTACAAAAAAAGGTTATATAATATCTTTAATGGAGTACTTTTACTTAGGTCGTTCGAAGTGCTAGCTAGGTACTGATGAGTATTAAATGTTAGCGCTACTTTGATTACGGTAAAATTATGAGCATTGAGCCTAATAGCTCTTTTCAAATTTTGTAACTACACTGCAGAACCGACCAGATGAAATCCAAAGTGAAATAAATGCAATCAATAAGAACTGTTGATGCGCATATATCTTCCTACATAATTAAATACCAGTAAAAGCCAATTATTTTTCATCGCCATTCAATTGTGATTTTAAGAGAACTCTAACTTGTTAATATGAAATAAGAAAAGTTTTGCAATGTAAAAGACATTGGGCGAATCGATCTTCCCCTCTCCAACTCTCTCTCTCTCTCTGTCAGCAAAAGTATATTTATTTCCACATGAAAAAAAAAAACGTATGGAAGTGCCATATAAAATACAAGTTGAAGCTGCTTCATATCAAAAAACATATTTCATGTGACACAACAGAATATCGTTCGAATTGAATTCCAGACAATTTGGCCGATTGAATGTGTTTATTTTGTACCGATTCATGTTATCAAACGCTCATTTTTCTCTATTAATACAGAAAATGGCTTCTTTTGTATTTTTAGCATCCGAATTTGTCTTGGGTTTTACCGAATATACACGTATATAAATATATATATAGCTGTAATAGATTTAATTGCAATTTTAGTCATTTTGTAGCGCATACAAGTTGGTTAATTCTCTGTGAATTAAAAATAAAACTTTAAAATACAAACGAACGAGAATAAACATTTGATGTGTTAAACCTTAAGTCCAATAACCAAATGTTTCATTTTCCTAATTTTTTCCCCTCTTCTTTTTTGATAAATTAATTTGTAATTTAAATAATGCATATTTTTCTAAATAAAATCAGGTTATTTTATCCGTGGATAAATGAAATGAAAAGTCTAAGCAAACAACAAACAATCACACGAGAAATAATGTACGAACAAAAAAAAAATCATTTATCAGCCTATAAGAAAAATTCTGTAAATATAAAGTTCAATCGATATGCAAAATAAAAGAAAAAGTAAAAAAACTCACACCGATTGCTAATATGATTCATTCATTTGCATTTCATTACTCATCATCATCACCATCATCACCATGATCATCATCATTTCATTTTAAATTTACCTTTCTCAACGTTTACTTCTCGTTCATTCTGGCATATTTCCTATATTATTGCTTTTTTCGATGGCAATAATATTTTTTTCTTTTAAATGTTTTCCGTATTGAACAAAATATTGACGGATGTATTTCACAACATTTTTAGCTAAAAATTTAGTTGTACCTGGAGCGAAACGTGGAAGACCATTGATACGGCAATCGCGTATTAAAAAAGACATCGATCCAAGTCAAATGCCGTCCTCACCAGATGATATTGATTATGAACTGAGCTCGAGCCCATACTCACATCGTTTATCAGCCACATCGTCCGTTTCGAAAATGGAACGGCATGTGTCCGAACCATCGCCACGATTATCATCGCAATCACCGCCTCCATTATCTTCAACGGCAGCGACGGCGATGCAATTACTTACCGTACCACATGCTCCAGTTTTAACCAAGCAACACAGTGCACCAAGTCAATCAATATGTGATACGCAATTCTCTTATCATCGACAAGAGTCGCATTCGCATTTCTCATTGCATCGTCAACTTTCTCTGCCATCATCTCATTCGCCTCCGCCCGAACGTGGCACTGCCATTGATCCATTCATAGTTGCCGAGGAGAAGGATTCACATGCATCAGCGTCGGGCAGCAGTAGCCATTCGGTGCGTCCATCGGTCAGCACAAGTATATCGGTGACCGAACAAAAAATGCCTCATGATCTAAGTCCAACATTTGTCGTATCTGAACCGACCGAACAAGGTCCGCCACCGATGCGAGTCAGATCTGAAGAATTACAACGATCTGTTTCATCGCCACAGGTTTGTAATAATTTTCGCTTTCATCGTATTTTCCACCTAAAAAAAGAACAACAACTATATTGTCCACATTCTGCTTACAGCATTTATTACGAGAGATTTCATTAGAAAACCGCTCGCAACATTGTCCAGTTATTCGACCCGGTCCGGCATTAGGTTGTAATTTCTGTTGGAATACGATTGATGCACATGGACGTATTTTGCGACGCAAAACAAAATATCATTGTCCTGAATGTCAAACAAATTTGTGCATTGTGCCATGCTTTCAAGAATACCATGAACGACAAACTTCAAATGAACAACCATCAACTTCTTCGTCCAATGATACAGCAAAAAATTTGACAACACCATCTGGACTACGACATCATCCGAAATCAAGTTCACTGTCGTAAGAATTCAAATCGCACAAATGAATTTTATACCACCAAAAAATGCAATTTCATTCGCTTCACACAAACACACAAACATACATACATATGAAGTAATTGAATTTTAAAAAAATTCTGTAAAAGATGCGGATTAATCAGATGAACTCTTTTCCAACCGTGTTCCTAAATTCGATATTTATATATATATGTGTGTTATTGCAGATATTGACATAACTAACTGATCTTAAATCAAATGAAATGATATGATTTTAAATTAGAAAGTAGAGACAGAAAAGCCATCATTTTTTTGGGTCTTGGACTGAGTCGCAAACATTTCAGTATTTTATTTTATTTTTTCGAGATTTTTTTTTCGCATACTTTTGGCTAATCATTTTCTGAAAGTGATCTTCGATACATTTTTTTTACCGTTGTAGTTGTTCAACGCTTTGGCTTGACGACCTCTAGCTGGCTTTCAGTGAACATTTTCTTGCTTTTTGTTGCGAATGAAGAAACACAGCTTCAAAACGCACTTTAGAATTCATGTTTTTGTTGTAATTGCGACTTAGTTTTTGATCCCATCTGGCAACATGAAAAAGCAAATTCAAATTCCGGCAAAATTCAAATGTTTCAATCTGATTATGCTGTATGGCCCAACGCAAAATTTACTGTAGAGAATCATATCCTTTAGCAAAAGTACAAAATAGACAACCTGAGAATTCCCGATGAATTCAAAAAAAAAAAACATTGTTATTGTTGTAATTGCAAAATTCAAAATGCGATTTTTTAGGCATACATTCAAACAAACTTAAACATACATAAACGAATTAACTAAAAAAAATACTGTGTCGTATATGAAAAAATATATGATAGTAACATGGTAGTTCAAAAAGCACAAATGTTCAATGTTTTTTCTTTGATGTTTTTGAGTAGTAAAAATCCAATTTTTTATCAAATTGAAATGTGGGACGAACAAGTGAACGAGTTTACACTAAGGGATCATTTTTAAATCTCCTTTGAATTGCATCACCAAATAAATAATAAATATTTGCGAGAAGTATCTTGGTAAAATTGACAAAATATGGTGCCATTTAGCAAACTAAAACATATATTAAAAATAACATAGTCTTCTGTCATTTTGATGACATTTAAAACAAAAATACCAAACAAATCTTGTAAAACCAAAAACCAAACTCGAAAATGTAACAAAACAACAAAATAAAAAAAAATCGTTTTTTTCTGTTGTGCACGAAACATTAATAAATATGTACATGATTAGTAATAAAAAAAATAGTTTAAAAAAAGAAAAAAGTGAACAAACGAAAATTTGGTAAAAAAAAATCATAAAAATCCATCGCAACCGAAATCCAATTTTGAATGCAAAAATAAAATTGATGTTGTTATTTTTGTTGTTGTACCATAAGGGAGCTTAAGGCTCATCCAATAAAATAATCATCATAGTAGAAAAGTCTTATTTGTTGAAAATGAATCAAATTAATTATAAGACAATTTAAGAGAAATACATACATCATACAAGCAAACCATGTGTGCATGACAATCTGAAAGAGTTAAAAAAAAACACTAAAATGGAGCGAAATAAAATGGCCAGTAGAGTTTCAGCCATCTATATAAGCATCAAGTCAATTGCGTTCACACATAAACACACACTGCAATACTACGTACATGTATAAAATTGGTATTATTTAAACCCATGAATTGTTTTATGGATTAGTTTTTTTTTTCATTATATTTAGTAGGGATGGTATATACAGTGTCTCTGCATGAGCTTGATTTCACTTATACTAGTCAAGCTCCAACACTTTAAATAGCCAGTTTTGGTTCCTTGCTCAAGATACAAATCATCACTGTATACAGATGAAAATCTTTTACTCGTGCTTATTGGAAGCTATGCTAGTAGCAATAATGACTCATGCGGAAGAAACTAGATACACTGCTGCCAAAGTACACAAAACAATTGAAATACAAAATAAAATGATCCAAACCGCAAAAGATTCTCTATCAGATAGAAGTTTTGAATATTAATATTTAAAATTTGGTAAACACGGGTCTTATTTTAAAACAATGATTGGTTTAATTAATATATTCTTTAGCCGAAAATTTAATATTGAGCAAAGCGAAGAAAATGCATAGATATAAATATATATATATATGACAGATAATTAGTTGTGTAAATTATAATTTATTTTACGTTGAAAATTAAAACAACAACAACAAAAGTTGTATAAATTATCATGCAATTTTGACCGAATTGGAAACCAAAAACTAAAATTGTAGCTCTTAAATATTTCTTTTGATTAACAGATATTGGAGATTAAATGAAAATACAAATGCGATTCCGCAATAATTCTTAAGGAAAGTATTTTTTTTAAATATTTTGTTCATTAAGAAAAAGGAATTACTCGACAAATGTTTATTTTTCTAAAAACGTAAAATCATTGACAAAACCACCATTTTTTTCTATCGAACTGAACTCAATAAAAAGAAATGATGCAAGAAACAAACAAAAAAAATCAAAAACCAATGGATATTTCATCGGATATTTCAATTTTCATTACTTTTTTTACATTTATTCGTTTTTTTAATAAATTGTGCACTTTTTTTTCTTTCTTTCTTCTTTATTTCGTATAATGAACATTTTTTTACATAAATTTTTCAGCGGTTTTATTTTTCGATTTGTTTTGTGGAAATTTCTTCCGACGCTGGATTCGCATTTCTAAAATTGGGGAATTGTTCCCATGGTGCTGACAAATCAAATTTACGGAATTCCTGGGCCAACTCCAATGGTTCACATACTACACGTTGTTTTTCATCATCATAGCGTACCTAGAAAGAAAAAATCGTATTTCCGTTAATTTTTCATGATGACTCTTTTTCATCTTGAAATATCAAATTTTGGTTTTTTTCATTTTACTTACCTCTACGTAACCCGACAACGGGAAGTCTCGGCGTTGTGGATGTCCTTCGAATCCATAATCAGTTAAAATACGACGCAAATCAGGATGATTTGCGAAAAATACACCATACATATCCCAAATTTCTCGTTCGTACCAATTGGCCGCTTGGAAAACTTCACAAGCTGATTCAAGTGGTGTCAATTCGTCTGTGTATGTTTTGACACGAATTCGAGAATTGTAACGTAGTGATAGCAGGTTATACACAATCTACAAATGAGAATGCGAATCAACATTTATTATGTAAACTTTGTCGAATGAATGAAGATTTAAATAAAATATTTTTTTTTTTACAAAACTCACTTCAAATCGATATTTTCGGCTCGGTACATCCATGCCAGCAATGTCAGCCAAACTGGCAAACTGAGCGCTGTGATGATCTTTCAAGAATTGTAGCGTTGGAATAATACCTTCCGGAGCTACTAAAACTTCCAATTCATCACCGGCCGTCAATTGAACCTTTTGTACATACTTTGGTAAACATTCGGCTACATATTTTCCAAAATCTGTCAAATTAACACGCGCTGCTTCATCTGGTTTGCGGACCGATGCTACAATTGAAAACAAAAAATTGGCATTGATTACGAAAACATGAAAAAATTTCATTGTATTGGCAACAAAAATTAACATACGTCTCTTGTCTTCAGCTTTTGTTACTTCCGATGACAGTGACCGCACTGTGATCGAATTGATTCGACTGGCAACTATAAAAAGAAATCACACGAAACCGAAAATGTTTATGATTGATATTGGAATTAAGAGGGTTTCTCATATGTACTTACCATTTGCTAATGGTAATCCACTGCGTAAATTGGTGGATAGTGTTCGAAGAAACGATGCCATCGGAAGCAAGTGTTGTAGCTAAACTTTTCTAAATTCTATTTTGTATGAAATTTGACAGATTGAAAGAAAATATGTTTATATAATAATCAGCAATCATGCCAAACGTACTGAACAGATATCATATGCTGGTAGCTCGTGAACTCACGAGCCTATTAAGGCTCACATTTTAGTACAATCGTGAAACCATAGATGGCACTCCAAATATCGTTTATACCAAATTTAAGCGGTCCATTCTATAGTTTACAAAAAAATGTATATTTAAAATTTCAACGGAAGCAGAGTTGTTGTAAGAGCCAATTAAAAAAATAGAATCATGATTAGATTAATATTCGACTTATAAAGTCAATGATTTTGATTGAGTGTCATCCAGTTTTCTTTTAGTATTGGCAACAATTTAAACTTTTGGAGTACCGTTTTCTTTGAAGCCAGGCTCAATTTTGATTGGCCGAAGTTTGCAAAACTTTTATTGAAGTGCAATCGATAGAATCTTCGGAACAATATAATATAATTTCTTGAGCATGTTTACAAAATTGACTCTGCCAAATATACGTTTGAAATAGTAAGAACATAACTAACGAAGAAAACTTGATTGATGTTTAACGATGTGTGTACGGAATTACTTAAGCAAAAGAAATTAAACATATTTTCTTCCTTATGTGATGAAAAGAGGCAATTAATTTTTTTTTTTAATTCTAATTGGTACATTTAGTCAATCCATTCCGCAATCAAATTGTCTGTTATTGTTTGACAACTAAAAATGATTATTTTATTTTGATCAACGTAATAAATAAAATTTAATATTTTGAACACATAAATTGAGAAAGAAAACTTATATGAATTATAAAATATTTGAAAATTTATTTATTTAATTATTTTTTTTTGTACAATTAGTAATTATTTAATAGACTAGTCCCGACGGGTTCGAAAAAAACTTATACGAACGACCGATAATAGTTGGTCGTTGATGTTCGTGCCCAGCTTTGCTAGGGGGATACACGGGATCTAATATTGCTAATTTTTTAGAAAATATAACGCGTACATTTGACCAGTGACCGGTTCGCACATATTTCTATGCCTGATAGCTATGCTAAGCATAGCGGAGACGCAAGCCGCAACGCACCCGTCACCATTCGATTCGAGCTATATTGTATGCGCACGGTCGTCTGCATAAACGAACATGTGTATTGTTCATATAGAGTGAACGGCGATGCGTCGGTTGCGTTTGCGGCTATGCTTGGCATATCTATGCTACCTAGCGTATTTAGGCAAGCATAGAAATATGTGCGAACCGGTCACTGCATTTGACAGGACCGAATAAGTTTTAATTTTTCTAGTTTTTAATTTTGTGTTTACCCCCTAGGAGTGTTGCTTAAAGTGAACAATGAAAGCACTAGTAAAGATATAGAGTTCTGAATTTCGATTGGGCATTTTGATTTATTCCATAAGTGGTTTTTCATTAATTTTTTCCTCATGGACCCTGTTTTTAGAAGTTGAAAATTTCCACTTCAAAGTTCGAACATTTTTTGGGCGGATTTCGATTCCGCTCACACTTTGTGGTTGGATGAAAAGCGCATAGAAGATAAAATAAATGAAGCTGCACACATTGTTAGTTTGAATCTAGGTGGAACATGTAGTTGCAGAGTCATGGAGAAACAAATTGTTTTATAATTTAAAAAACCGGAACAAATTTTAATCTTAATGAATTCTTTTATATTCATTTTAAAATTAGCTTTTCAATGATATATAAATTATCTAATGTTGAGACATGTTTGATGGTGTTTTACGGCCATTTGGCCGAAACATAAAAAATGCGGGAAAAATCTTAGCAAGGTTTAAACCAATTCTACGAATTATTTAAATTTTACCAGATAGCTGCATGTCCTCTTTCTAACGGTAAGTGGCTTATTGGCTGTTTAACGCTCATAGCATTTGATAACAACATTTAATCATAACATTTGCAGTGGAAAAGAAAGCTTTTGGGTCTGAACTCAAGTCAATAATTCTCAGAAATCAAAGTATGGTTCCACGTTTACATTAAGCCTTACGGCCAAAGAACTGGTAGTGTATTTTTAAATCTTCAATTTTTGGAAGCAATTTCAATAGAGAGCTTACGTACACTTATGAATCGCAATATTGTTAACATGAAAGATCAACTTGTTGGAAAATTGCTTCGCGTATTACAAAACTGAACGTTTTTTTTATTTGAAAGGGATCACAACTAGAAAATAACAGATGTGTGGTAACAATATTAACAAATAGACTTCGTTTACTTTAAGGTGACACACAAGTGGTTGTTGAATCTCAGGTTACCATTATGAATTTTTTTATTGAATTAATTATGGTCGGAGTGGATGAGTTTGTTTGTGCGAATATTCGAGATTGAGAAAGAGAGAGAAAATCGTAAATAATCCATGAGATGCTCTAAATATGATGATATCTATGATGGTATCGAAGTAAATCGCATACATTCGTCAAAATCAGTGTTCAGCGAAGTTGAATACACAATAAACTTTTGGATTCTTCATCGTATTTTTCATGCCTTTCTTACGCCACCGTCGTTTTTTTTCACTCTTCGAACGGCAACCGGTTAAATGTGATGATAATTCTATAACGAATTTCATTGTGTACCGGCTACACGTTGCAGCATAAAAAAATGAATGGAAAGGATAGAGAGGGGGAGAAAAAAAACGTAACGCGCTGAAATCGGATGTATGATATCGTCTTTTTTCTCATTTATAAATAGACATATACAAACGTCTAATACCATATAATCGCACATAAAATCAGAAGATAGCGGATGAATCTGCATTAATTTCCGTTCGAATCGGGAATATTTTTCGCCTTTTCTCCTTCATCCATTGTCATTTTGCAGAAAGTAAACGAACTGGAGTACGATTGAAAGAAAAACGTATACGTTGTTTATTCGATCATTTTTTTCGTAATGTTTTTTTTTTTTTTTTTTGCTTCTTTAGTGTTTAGAACTTTTTTTCTGTTCCACTTCTCAATCGTTTTTCTATCACAATAGCGATTTGGATTTGCGCGATTCATTTTTTTAGCTCTTTCTTCTTCAAATAAAACTTCTTTATCATATAGTTTGTGAACTGTGTGTAATGGTATCGAAAAGAAAAGAGATTATGTATGTGAATGGACTGAGATAGTGTTCTTTTGTCATCACAATGGGGAAATTCGTTCAGGCGCCGCAATGAAATTATCAAGAAAATCTGGTTGGAACACATTTTTACCGTGTCGATATTCGTGAATTCCTTATCGTTTCAAAGGTCACACAGATGTAACAATATGGATGTAAAATTTTTAATTCGAATCCCAAATTTGACTTGTGCATGTTTGCATGCCAAAATATCGACAGCGTTGACCCTTATGTGCGATGTTCTTCGTAGACATTTTTGCAATGTTGCCAAATTAATATTGAAAATCGGAATTCGAGTAGACGGTTTTAAGAAACAAACTATGTTTTAAAAATAAACTTTTCAATCATTTATGACTTGATATTGATTGATTCGAAAGTGCGAAACTATTTTTTCCTTTAGCACTCATCGGCTGTTCTAAATTTTTCTTGAAATAATGGTATTATCTCCCTTCATTGAATAATAATTGATTTTATTCGCTTGTCAAGTGACATATTGTTAGTTGTACTCATTATTTGGGACAATTTGTTTGAATTTTGTGAAGTTGTGTGATTTGTCGTTAGAATGTGATAAAGAATAGCAGCCGCCCGGGACACACAGCAGGAAGGTTTTAATCTGCATATATGCAATTTGAAACGGGATCGCGTATCGAATGTGATTATCATAAATAATTTAAGAGCGTTTGAAACATATAAGTATCAAGATGTTTACTTTGTCAGCATAAAATAAACAGTATGCACACCATTGAACACTTGAAAATAACATTACGCTATTCGTTCAAATCGGAAAATACTATTGCAAGGCGGTAGAAAATTTCAAGGAGACTGAGAAAGAGAGAAAAAAATACATCACATGCAACAATGCATGTATATTCCGTCGATGCACATTGCACACTCTGTCGCCACTTCAAAGAGCTTGAGAGTAGATTCAGTTTTGTTTGTTGTTGTCACCGCGCCGTTATTTTGTCGACTTTTTAACAACCTGTCCTGTTTGGATACTCTTGTATCTCTGTCTTTCTCTCTCTATTTGTATGTGTTTTTTTTCTCGTATTTATTGGTAGTGTGTTTATGTCATTTCATTTTTTATTTTCGGGAAAAAAGCAAACTCCCGTTTCTATCGGTAGTTTTGGCCATAATATTTATTTGATTCGCTCCAAAATGCTCATGCTCAGTTAGCTCTGTTCACTTCGTTTACAGCATACCATCAATGGGTTTGCCTGTAGCGCGCAATTTGCACCACTTTGAGAGTTGGAACATGGATACATACTGACAATGCTTTTGGCTCAGCAAACACTCGATGATATGCTTTCGGTGCACATTGCTGCTATGCTGTTGCTGCTGTTGCTGCTGCTATTGAACGTCGAATATTCATTCTATCCAACTGTCGATGTGCTTGGTGTTAGCGCTCAAGTTTTCAACGATGCACGATGCAAACACAGCACAACAGTCACATTTCAAACATGCTTCGGTATGGTCGTACTTTAAGCAAATAACGATATAACAAGCAATACGAAAATTCGAAAACAGATCGTACGTAAAACATTTTTTTTAAGCGAAATGAAAACGCGCACGCGACTTCTATCAGTTAAACATTGATTGAATTTTGTGTTTCGGTTTTGTCAGCATGTGTAAACATGTATTCGCACTCGATTCAATTTGATTGAGAAAAATAGATGTAGATGGTCATTTTGGCGGCTAACACACAATCAATTTAAGCTAGCAAGCAACGAAAAATAGTTATAATTAAAAAAAAATAAAGAGAGGAAAATCGTATATATAATATATATACAATCGTATACAGAAAATCTCCTCTATAAATATACTACCATATGAATTGGGAAACATTTAAATAAATTTCGCACCCAATCGACAGACAATAGATTTTGTTGCGTGTTTTCCCTCGCTCTTTATTTTTGGCCAAAGAAAATACAAAGTTCAAAATTCGTCACACATTTTGTTTATGTGCCATTTTTTTTTTGCTCTTCATCTCCATTTTCTTTTTGCATTTCGGTACTGTTTTTGCATTCACAATATAAAGTTTTGTTTACATTTTAAATTTGTGAATAGTTTCTGTTTATTTTGATTCGAATTTTCATTGTACATAGCCGCCAATCCAAAAATTCAACGGGACTTCTAACTGACCAACGAAATATATTCGGTTGAAAATGCGAAAATGAAATAGACTGAATTGAAATAAACGATAAATCGGATTGTACGTGATAGTGTTTTGAATTGAGGATCGACCAAAAACGGTTTGCTAGTGCGTTAAGTTCATTGAATCGAAAGACACTTTATTACCCTCTGATATGTGTGCGTCAGATCTATTTTCCGGTCAATGGTAAAGAGTGTGTGTTTGAGAGAGAGAGAGGGGAAAGAGTTCGAGTATCAAATCGAATGTAGTATTTCTGGTGCAAAACCGAAAATCATATTAGATGCTCACATCAAAATACATAAACGTTTTTACCGAGAAACCAAATCAGCAATAAAAAACGAAACTTTTTGGCTATGATTTAGTAGCAAGTGTGAAACGATTCGATTTCGAGCTATGTGACCAAATAAAATGGAATTTCATTTCTCGACATTTGACTAAAGTACACATTGAATACATAGTCGAAATCGCACACCCATTTCCAAACTACAAATAATAATTATCAACGAAGCCAACGAATTGAAAGAATAAACGCTGAACGGAAAACTAAGAAAGTTTTAAACTGACGACAAACGGAAGTTCCAACAGAAAACTACGAATTTATTCCAATTGCTATCGAACCTTTCTGCTGTTTTCGCTGTTAATTTGATGGGTAACAAATATTGGTAGTTTTCGGAAGTGGTACGGTGCACCGGGCAATGGAATTTCAACAGTTTCATAACTAATGCGCTCGCGTACAATCCAACATACTTTTATTGAAGTGAGATAGTGAAACCAATTTATTCAATACTTTCAGTTGCTTTCGATTTAATCACATACACACACACGCGCGCGCCTTCGCTTTACCATTATCGGATGTGTCACAAAATTTTTGTGCAACGGACATTGGTCAGTCACTTCAGTTAATAATTTTGGTAGTGGCTTGAAATCATGTGAATTTCACATACACTATATAGGCTACGTACCACGGCACATCATTGCCAATACTAAAATTTGCAAGAACACATTCGACATAATACATGCTGGTGACCGTTATTTTGTGCTATCGTTATTATATGTATGTGACTGATGTATGAATAACCTATAATACGATTAAAGCATAACCGAAACAGTAAAATAACGTTAGAAAATACTACCTGCATTCAATCGTAAATAGCACAGTACATCATGTATTACATGTGATATCACTAGACTACTGACTGAGCAATAGACAACAGCAACACCAACGAAAAACTTATTAAATGAACATAAATCCAAGAAAGAACCATGAATAACGTTACGTTGAATGGAATTCAGTGTGACAAACACTAACGACAATTCACCCATTTTATTCTGTTTATTAAAGCCTAAAGCAATATTCAAACATCGTTATATCACGTTCTCGCATTTATTTTATCATAGCTCATAGAAAATTTTGTGAGCAAGTGTGTTTGTGTGCATGGTGGCGAGTAATGCGGCTTTTGGCATCGAACAGGCCATAATTCACTAGAGCGGCTTAAAAGCCATAATACTAAATAGAAACGATTGTACAGTGGTCATCAAAGACAAGACAATCGGATTCGAAGGACCATGATAAATGTAAACAAAATCAAATTGACTGAGCCAAACGACAAGAAAAATGTAATAAGCTAAGAATCAACGTCAATACATCGGAAAAACAACAACAACAACAGTTTAACACAACCGCAGGAGCAAAAGTAATAACAACAGCAATATGAGTATGAGCATATCACTTTAACGATTTCAATATAAAAGAGGAAAAGCCAATGTCAAAGCAAAAAACCGAGACCGAAGAAATGCTGATGCCAGATTTAATGCTTACGATATTATTACAACTGCTTACATAGACTAGAATCAAACTACCGCACATTTATAACATACATTGTGTATGCGAAACATACAAATAAATTTTTCATCGACTGGAGTAAGTGCGTCAATTTTGATGGTGTAAAATTTTTGATGAAAAGTGTTTGTGTGTGTTTGAGTACGTTGTGACAGTTTTTCGGTCAACTTAAATATAGTTAAGTAACTATAGCGGTGCAAGAGCGTGCTGTGCTGTCATTGCTATTTATTCGGTGGTGTTAAAAATAACGACAATAATTTTATTGGATTAGAAAATTATGGAATCAACAAATCGACGACGAAGACGGCAAAAAGGCTATCCATGTAATGCACTTCGCTTACTTATCCGTTTGTGGGGTATCATAACGAGCACTGGTAAGACACATCGAATACAACATTTTAGTTTGCGTATCTCAAAATCTATATTATATTTCATCAGATATTTTTATTTTGATTGTGCTTTGGCTACATAATGTCTTCCATGTATGTTTTGTGCTTTGGTCTCAATGAAACATCTCCCTTTTTGTTTTTCATCTTGTTTACAGTTTGTTTCGATTCCATTTTTTTTTGTTGTGTATGCTTTCGATTCTCAAATACATTTATTTATCCGCTGTCACACTTACTCTTTCATCCAATATGCCTGCTCATCAATATCTCTGGCATGTAGTGCGATAGCAAAGCTATTTGTAACACGGCCCAGAGATCTTGATCAAACAATTTTTCAAGTTTCAACCATTTCAACTGGTTGGATGTGGATCATAAGTTGTGTACCATTGTTGTTTTATGCGTATTTTTACAGCTAAATCTTTCCGCATATGAATTTTGTACGCAGTGTGCGTATGAGAGAGAGAAAAAAAAGTCAGTCAACCAACAAAAATGGCTATAAATGAATTAAAAAAGTTTGCATTAAGGCAGTCTCTGGTGTTTGTTTGCACGTAATACACTTTGCAAAGAATGAATGACTGTTTAAATTAGCAAGGGACCAAATCCGATGGTAAAACATAAGAAAAACCAGAAAAAATGGAAACAAAAAACTTTTATATGCTCATCAGATTTTCATGGCTTTTCGATATGGGTGATGTGATTCGTGCTTAATCATACAACTTTACACGCAATGTCACACGCATCAGAATTTGGAATGCTGATGGCAATGCAACATCATACCATGTATTCGCCTATGTTTCAACTTATAAACACGACAATAATGTTAAACATGCATGTGCAAAAAGTTCTCATCTCGAGTTTGAAATGAAAGTGTTGTTCTTAATTAATTTATATAGAAATTATGAACAATGCCATTTGTAGGCCAAAACCTAGAAAAGACCATTTTTCTCTTGAACATTTACGACGTCAAAATGATTTTTTTGAATTTCACCTCCAATTAACCCAATCAAAATCATTGCAGTTTCCATGCTTAAATTAAACACACGATTAATCGCATTAGTTTGTGCATATTTAGATACTTGTGAATTTCATTTTTTTTTTCTCTTCTTCTGTTTCTTCATCTATGATATATCGCGTCATTCATTTATGGGTGCGTCGAATACACAAATGCATATTGCAATATCATATGCGATTTATGGTCGGAATCCAATGTCAAAGGTCAAACAATAATCTATGACAAAATGTCTTATTATTTACAGCAGCACAAAATGCGGAATTTACATTAAAACCAAAATATATCGACGAAAATGACGAAAGAGAATTTATTGAAATTATTTTCCTCAATTGGCGACAGCAACAAATGCAGCAGCAACAACAACAAAAAAGGAAAATAAATTCCCGTTTGATACGATGCAAATGAACAAATTAGAAAGGTGACATTCATTGACTGTCATGATACAGCACATATACTTGTATCATTAACTACATGGCGTTGTGCACAATAAGCGTCAATCAAAATTGAAAAACAAAAGAAGACAGAGAGTAATAAGGGGGGAGAGAGAGAGAGACAGAGAGAAAAATTAATAATCCCAATGCACAAATGCACAACTTCGTTCCTTTCGAAATGTTCGTGCTTTTCATTTTGTAAGCGAATGATATACGATGCCATACGCTATGCCTGACTAAATTCCATCGTAAATTTGCACTCTGGAATTGGAATTTTATAAATTCACATATCACTTTGCTCTCTCGATCTCTCTTTTCCACACAAAATGGATGTGCCTCAATGCGCACCAAACATTGTTTTCAATCACACTTGAAACATTTCTCTTTTTTTGCTGTGTTGTGTTTGTCAAAGTGTAACAGATATGCGATTGTTGACAATAATGCTGTGCCATATCGAAACCAGTTCAATGAAAAATTAATAACTGCAAATGGAATGGAGCATTTATAATATAATTTTTAGTATATGCCCGTTTAAACAGTTGTACCATCACAAATTTATTTAATTGACAATAATTGTAAACAATATACTGTTATGCAGATTGTCAGTTGGATTCAAATCAAAATTCATTTGCAAAATACATAGTTGCAAGATACATTTGTAGGTTAACGATCGATTCAATACGAATGACTTTGATTTCCAATTGAAGAATATCGTTTGGGTTCGTCGACATACATTTCTTTTGAATGCATTCAATCAGTGGTGCACAAACAAAACAATGATCAACATTTGTAATTCAAAACTATTCTTGCCTTTTATTCAATCAACCACTTATTGAACGCATATATCTGTTTCTTGGCAATTTCGATTTCAATTAATCGACATTAACTGTAAAGTATGTGACATTTTCGATGCGACCAATAAAATGACATGAAAAATGGCCAGTGATAAAAAAAAAAAACAAGAGGTAAATAAAAAAGTCATGCTGGTCAGTACAAAAAAAAAGGATACAAATATTTATGTGCGTTCCATTGATATTACAAATCATCAATGTTTTGTATTCCCGCGAGAGATGGATCCGTTAATCATGCAAATGGCAGTCAATATGCAATTTACTACTGGATAAAAATCGACACACACACACACACACATATACACTGACAACCACTCCCAATCGCCTCGATGGCGGTCGTTTGATGTGTTTGAACATTTAGTGATTAATTATCATTTCTATGTAATTCATTTCTGCCGCTATGTTTAGAATTTTGGCTGGGTTTTGTGTGTGTGCGAACAGTGGAACGAACATTTCTTTTTGGCATTTTTTCCAATTAAATCGAAATTGATGTACGCTTCAGGATAAAGCACGTTTCACATCGTGGTGATGATGGCGGTGACGGTGATGTGGCGGTGGCGGTGACGGTGGCGGTGACGGTGGCGATGATGATGGTAAAAAAGTCATTCGTTTGCACGTACATCGTACACGCCGATTTCAGTTTGTAAATCTGGCTCATTTTAAACAAATTAAGTCAGTAAAATCAAAAACGAACAAAGAAACACCGAATGACAGGTGAAACAAATGAGGTGTAAATGTGTACGCATTGTTTGCATTTTGTCGAAAGAAAAAGACAAATTTTCAATGTTTTTGGCTCACAGTTAAATCGTCGTGATGATATTTAATTTACTTTATTTGAAAATATTTTAGCCGAAGGTGATGTGGGATTGGAGGGCAGCAGATGGAAGAAAAAGCATGTACTATTATGTCGGGGACGTTTTTTTTCTTCTCTCGCTTTCGTTATAAATGATGCGCAACACATTCGGCAAATTCTTTAGTAACGACCAAATTCATTCAATCAAACGACTCACACTGTATACACGCTGACACTTTATAAACATACAATAATGAAATTAACGAAGTAAAACGAAATCTGAATATGAAAATATTATTGACGTTGTACGTTCGTTTGTTCGTCATCAAAAATTCAATATTCACGTGCAATGCGTTAGAAAAAAAACAACGACGTCTGTGCGCAATTAATTCTGTACCAAAGCATAAAATTATATGGAAATTAGCTTTAATTAATTAGTTGCAAATTTGGTAGTGTTTGATGGTGATGTGAGTGCGCGTGCAAAACGGTACATGGCAAAACGCGAAAACATTCACATAGAAAGATATGAGATACAAGATATAATACACGAAACGACAACACACCGAAAATAATTTTGCCCTTTCATGAAACTGAAAACATTCACCACACACACACATAACAAAATATGCGGAATTTATTGAACGATGTAGTGTGAATATTATACGCATACATATACCGTGCGATTTAATAAATTCCATGAATATTTTGCAGTCATCAGCAGCACGGAAAATGTCGTGTTAGTTTTGCTATTTTGATCATTACTACTACTAGTTGCGCACAATCACAAATACAAAAATCCCGTTGGCATAACAAGATATAAAACAATAGCCAATAACAATAAAAAAATAATAACGCTTCGACTAATCGTTCATTTGATTAGTTGATTCGCACGGTTTAATCCGGTTGGTCATTGTTTTCAATCATTTAAAGGATCTATTTGGGCGCGAATTTGATGCAGTAATTTATAAAATTACCGTAAATACTCGAATTCCGGCCATTTTAAATTCGATTGCACCTTAACAATTTTGCACGGCATCCAATGAAAGCGGTATTACGTTCACAACCATGACAGCATTTGTGGTACTGCCGGAAATGTGTAAATTCTAATGCAAAATGTGAATGTCAAACTCAATTGAGACCAGATAACTTTTAAGCAGCAATTAACACATATGTTAATTACAAATAACCGGTGATGATGATCACTGGTCCTGGATATAAATATGTGAACTTTGAATGCAATGTGTAATTTATTTGTGATTATCCTCGTCAAAATTTTAACTGATTATTATTCAAAAACAATCAGTCTTTATGGCAAGGCTCTGTTTCGCGGATGTCTAGCAATTACAAATGAATTATGGTTATTTCCTGAATAGATTTCGTTGTTCTCGTCCACTCTCTCTCGCTCTTTATCGCTTGTGATTATTATTATATGCGTTGCACTTTGTAGAATGTGTGTCGTATGTCGAGAGTATGGTCAGATCAATTGTATGTGCGCTTAGCGGAAAACATTGCAAACAGAGGGCCAAACATGTACCAGTTACACGGTCATAGAATTAATTTATGCAGATGTGTATAACACTAAATATTATGATGGAGTGAAACGAAGAAGAGTGGCCATTTGATGAATACAAGCAATAGTAAACAAAAACCGTATGTAATTATTTATTAGCCCATAATCACTCACGTGCGTATATGCATCGAAACCACTCAACCATTATGCACTTTATTGAGCATTGATCGAACGTAAAAGTTGCAAGAAACGATACGCGCCCAACGAATGGTTTATTATATCATTTCATGTACTCGTTGAATCGTTGAATCGCATGTACGCATTAATATAAATGAATAAATTGCCCGAATGTACCAAAATCCAATTTAAATATTAATATTTACCCACAACG